AATGGTTCACCATTCCCATTTTCTTTTAGCTACTAGTCAGCAACCCCCTCCTAAACCCTTCTGAAAGACATGCAGCCCTTGTTTTAGAACTGACCCTTCTGTGCCACCACCTGCTGCTTTACAAACTGTTCCAGCCTGTGTGTACTTGAGCATTACCCAGAGCAGCAAAGTCAGCGAACACGAGCGTGACGGAGAGCATGGGAAGCAAGAGAGTCGTGCTTCTGGAAGCTTGCCAGGAGGGGAGAGTCGTTCAGCTCAGACTGTGAGATGCCCTTGCCGTGAGTGCAGGGGGACTGAACCCAGTCAGACACAGCTCCTTAAAGGTTGGCCAGGCTGGTTGCTTCCAGCAGTGGAACTGCTGGGGGTGGGGGGGAGAGAAGAGGGGCTGGGTGCCCCAGCCCTTCCGATGGGATGCACCAAGGCACCAAACTTTGCAGCATCCATGGATGCGAAACCAAGCTGCGGGGTGTGAACGCAGTCCCTTGCTGGATCTCTGCAAGGAGCAGCTGCTGACTCCCACACAAGAGTTAGCACCGAGGGACTTCAACGTACATTGAGTGCAGTCAGACTGTACAGGAGCTGTCTGCAAGCCAACACGGTATCTGAGAATTTCATGGCCTATTTCAAAAATGCATTTTTTAGAGTTTGAAATTCCTTTTACTCTCCTGCAGAAAAAAGAGGTGGCAGAAAGTTTGATGGTCAGGAATGTCTCCTTCAAACATTACAATTGTCTGGCATCCTAGTCAGCAACTTGGAGATGAAAATGCATCCCAGTTCAGAAAAACAGGCTTTAGCGAATTTTCAGGGGTCTGGTTAAATGTGCGCACACTCCGTGCATGCATGCATGAAAGACTAGGCATGGCGAAGCAGAGAGGAAGCTTGCTTTTGAGTAGAGTATCAAGGCTGTCGCCGGGCACTTGAGAGGAACTGAATAATCAGCAGGTGCAATCTGTGTGGTGCACGCAGCCAGCATGGAAGCTTCTCCTGTCGCGACTGTGAAGGCAAAAGACAGCTCTCCTTCCTCAAGTAATGGCCTGCATGGCACCCACTGCATGGGAAGAACGTGAAACACATCGCTCAGAAAAGCTTGGTGCTACCTTACATTTTCTAGGGAACACACAGATGGCTACAGACATCATTCCTCTTCACTAAAATGCAGGTCTCTCTTCCTCAGCATAGGAGAATAAATTGGTCTTGTTTTTGCTGAAGTCCAGTCATGAAAAACATACTTGAACAGCCTGGACAACCTCTGGCCAGAACAGAATCTTTGGGGAGTTGAAGAATTTCTTCAATGAAAGCGAGTTCTCGTACAACAAACCCAGTGCCGCTGTAAAATGTGCATTGCCCAAAGGTCGCCATAAAACCAGAACCAATTTGCCAGGCTTGCAAATATGAACGCACAGAAGCACACAACCCCGCTAAGTTACTGCGTTGGAGAGCGTTTAGGTCCCTCACAGCGTTATGTACTCTGACACTTCAGATGACAAGAAACAAATTAACGAGTCAGTCCTATTCATCTCATTAATGGTATGATATCAAAGTTATTCTATGAGGCTTCTTTTGAGGAGTACTGAATGTCAAAATAATTTCTAAAAATCTTTGGAAGCTGTTCTGTATATCGACAGTAATGTTACTGTAAAACGTGAGTACTCAGGAGAAAGAGCTTAAGCTCCCTCATGTGATGAACATACTTTGCTCCAGACGATGGAGCCCAACAGAATCTTCTCACATAAATCTGTGGAAACACAGTGAATAATGTGATTTATGGAAGCTGCTCCTCTATATTAGCGTGCTTATAACATGAAACAGAACAACTTTTATATTGGACCAATTTTTTGTGCCGATGTTTAGATTCTGAGATAATTCTTCGTAACTTACTCAAAACTGCTGGTTTTTGCCTGCTTCACAGGTCGATGCGGAAGGAACACAGGAGGACGTTTTTCTGGAAGTCTGCAAGACCATTGACTCTTTTCTGCACAAGGAAGAGGCAGCATTTTCTTTTTCACCAGAAACACAGTAATGGCGTGTCCACAGCCTTGCCTCGCACGCACTGGACAGTCACGGTTCAAAAGCTGTTCAGAGCAACAGTCCTTGCTCGAGAGGCACCCAGAACTCGTGCATGCGGTGTGTTATTGTAGATGAAATCTTTTTTCTCTGTTCTGACAATGCACTCAATAGAAAGCGGTCTGTGCGCTAACTCTGCCCTAAGAACTGCGTATTGTTTCGTTGGTCGTTTGCTCGTCACGGGTTACAAGCAGCACGGTGACCAGCAGCTCTGGTTTGTATTTCACAGTCTCACAAGTTTGACCGGAGGTCAGACAGTGCCCGGCCAGCAGCAAGCTCTTCAACCACATCGTTCACCGCTTAGCGTATTAGCTTTAAGATTACTGCACACAAGGTTCCCCTTGGTTATCATTTTCTTTTAATTAACAGTGTTCATTATTGTGGTATCACTTAGCTTGTTCTTGGGTTTTAGAGACTAAAATCTGCTCTCTGTCCCATGCAGCTGTTAAGACAGCTGGAATTTGTCAAGCTAGAGGCTAAAATAAACTTTACACACTTCCCCAGAACACTGTTACAAGAAGCAGAAAAATTAACTGAAGACGTGGCTGAGTATTGTGAAGTCTGTGGATCCGTTATCGTGGAGCAGACACCATTTTTGAGGCAGCCATGCCTTTCGCGGGGAGTTGTAGGATATTATAAATGACGACTTCCCAGTTTTGTGAGCCGAGGTGAAAACAATGGTTGTATTGTAGAGTTAAATGTGCAGTCCAGTAATTATCCATATTAACAGCAGTTTTACGGTATTAAAGTCTACACAGAAAAGTGACTATGAGCCAGAATGTATGAAGATGTCTTTAAATCATACTTTGGAAGTATTACAAATGCAAAATTCAGATCATCTGTTGTCTTGTGCTGACAGGGACAAAACTTTGGGGGGAGGGCCAAATGGAAAGCGTCAGGGATTATTTTATTCATATTGCTTGCATCTCTAGTAAGCCATTTGTCTGTAATATCTGCAAAATGTCTGTAAAAATCATATCGTATTTCTGTTAGGTTAACCAAAATATTGTGGAGTTTCTTTGGTGTTCTGATAGCTAAGTAAAAGCTTGTTTGACATTCCTGTAAAGTAACTGAATCCTCTTACTGGAACTACTGGATGAATTCACAGCTGAAGTGGGTTGCATGATTGCTCTTACTGTCAAAGTTGTACTTTATGCAGCAGATTTGTATTTTTAAAGTTACCTTTCTCGTAATGAAGATATAATACAAATAAAACATGTACAAAAATGAGGAGTAATGATTTCTGTTACAGTATAGGTGGGTTTAATCCTTTTTAAAGCACAGTACATGACTCGAAAATATAGCTCAAATCAGCATGCTTACAGAGTATGTTCCCTTCTCCATTCCGGGCAAATTCTTCCGTTTTCTTTTTCTTCCTTGGCATTTACCCTGTAACTGCTAAATCAACTATTTTTTAAGGGACTGTTTTAGGTACGTTCTTATCCTCCATATCCTGGATGTTCCTTCTGTCCTGGGTCCTCTGACAGCCTACATTTTACCTCTGACGCTCTAGGAAGTGCTGCTCCAGCTCCAGACCCGCGCCAGAAGTGAGCAGCAACGCCTGCAGTACAGCAGCTCGAGGGCGAGACTCTCAGAGGGCGTCAGCTGGAGAAGGCAGGTTTCTCTACACCGAGCCTTGAAGCACCAGCAGCTGCCTCTTGTCCTGACCAAGCGCCTGCCGTTTGGCGTGTTTTTCAAAAAAAAAAAAAAAAAAAAAAAAAAAAAAAAAAAAAATTCTGGAGTTACCATGAAGTTGCAAATTCATCTGGGTAGGTTTTCTGGAGTATTTTTTATTACTTCTAATTACAGTAGAAGTTAAAAAGTGTGAAGTGTCATACTTGTGTGGGATGGGAACAAAGGCAACAATCAGTGGCTAATTATTTTTTTTTTTTAAATAAAATTACAAAAATTATTTAACATACAGTTGCAGTTTAATTTTTCTTTCTGCTTTTTCTGGTCTTTTCTGTGGAACAAAACAAAAAAGTTCCCATGCTTGATGGGGTGTATGTGCATCATATCTATTTGCATATGTTCATAATATATGCAAGAGGAATAGTTGTATATGCATGCATATGGAAATATAAATATTTATACATATTCAATAAAAAGAGGACTTATCCAAGACACTTCTTTCTTGGGTGATTCAGACTTGAAATTCTCCTGCTTCCAATCTCATTCCTATGATACCACGGCTTTCTGTTCTTCCCAGGTGATCCCAAACTGACGACTGAATATTTGCACTTCATCATATTTTCACAATTATACTTTTGTTATTTCTTCCAGCACTTTTTTCAGAATATCAACAGGAAACAAAGCTTACCACAGATTCTCTCCCTGATAATCTACCTTCACCAACTCTAGCTTCCTACAAACAGCATGAATGATGTGGAAAGCACATTTTTTATTGTATTAGAGAGCCTTGCAGAGCTGGCTAGGTTTTTTTCCAATTAAACATTAAAATACATCATGTCAATTTTTGTGTTGTATTTTTTAAGGTTTATTAAATTTATCTAAGTGTACTAGATAGGCGAGATGTTTATGGATGGTACTTGCTCAGTGTTCTAGTAACTGTACTGTATTACCTTCTTAATAGATTAAATGCTTAAAATTATTTTTTCTGAAGCAAAACATAACTACACCTAAATTTATTGCAAAACTTAATACTGATCAGTTTATAATTAAAATTAGGTGCAGCCAGCCAATTATCCTTCTTATTGCCATCTTTTAAAGTCAAATTAGTTTCATTTCTAGCTAATGACTTCAAGTATTCAAGTTTCAAAGCAACTGGAAGTCCATTACAGTTATAAAATGATCAAGTGTTTCTGAATCACAAGCTATACATTTCAATAGAAAATATATTAACTAAATTATGTCACAATAATTACAAAGCTTCTCAGACAACGGTATACAGTGTACCAGGGCTAGCAAAATCTGAATTTTCTGCAAACTGAGAAAGAACAGTCTGTGAGTAAGATCTGAGAAGACTGAAACGCTAATCCTGCCAAAGGCGACGTGCAGTGCAGCGGGCGCAGAGCACCACCAGCTCCCACTGAAATTAACAGCAGAGGACGGCGCTGGGCATCTTGCAGGTCTGCATAGGGAATATTTGTTTGACGTATGAAAATGTCCTTCTAATGTTTTCCATCCTGATTAAAAAGTCGGAACTACACAGAAAGGAAGTCACAGCAAGCATTCTATATATAAACAGACTGTATCCACATAGTTTATTTCTCACAGTTCTCCTGACAATTGAACATTATTTAAGAACATACTGTATACACAGATAAGAAGAAACATACAAAAATGTTTTAAATGATGCACAACAAAATCCAGCAGTATAAAAGAATGCATGTGAACCCTTGCTCACTGCTCAGGCTAAATTTAATCACTGTTTAAATAGTAATAAAAATACAATCTTTCATGGATCTTGTGCAGACTACAAAAGAGGAAAAATTATTACCATATATATGATTTATATTAGGCAGTTTTCTTTGATGAGTTGCACTAACAACTCCAAATACAGAGGCAGAAGGCTGTGTATTTTATTTTAAAGGAGTTAATGTTGAGTATTAGAGACTTTACAGAGTTACTACCACTGGCACTTTTCACCATATTTTGTACACATCACATGATCATCTTATATAACATTACATTTAAAAAATATATCTGAGTGACAATTTTATAACATTCACACACCATGAGCTGGTTAAGGAAGCAATGCCACAGTTGCCCCCTGTAGTGCTTCACTGTTGGTAAATAGAGTTCATCGTGGTTTTAAAAAAAAAAAAAAATTAAAAAAAAATTGAAAGTCAATGTGATTAAGCAGCTCCAATTTAATAAAGGCCTGTAACCAATCATCGCTGAGACAGTGAGTATTTTTTAGAGTACATCCTAGAAGCAAACACTGTCATTGGTTAAAACCTTGCCTAAAGAAGTCAGTTACTGTGCTGAAAACTATTTCACAACAAAACTGCAAGCTACTAAACTGTTTTAATATAAATACTTCATCTCCTCTGGATCTCATTATAACCAAGTTCTTCAAAGCCTTTGGAATTTACTCTATCTTTAATGTGTGCTCTCATTTCTGGCTCACCCTTTTGTACGTTTTTCTTTCGTGTTTAGATTCACCACCTAACAATGACTAATGTGGTGAAAGGAAAGTCTCCCAGTGAAACCTTCTGCACACTAGGAATGTTCAGCTGCTGTTCAGTGATCTAGAACCATGACAGCTCGAAGCTGTAGTTTGACAAGTACACCCAGGAAGCTGTCATGCTGTGAGCGACATTTCAGGGAAAGCAGTCTTTCCAAAATGTGCACAGAATTAACAATGGTGCCATTGTTATTTTCCAAAGATGATAGTAAGCCCAAGATGGTAGATCTGCTTCCCATGTCATCTATTTGCTGGAAAGTAGTTTGGGTCAAGATAATTGTAACTGGTGCCCTGGGACATGCAGTAGTCTCTGTCTAAAAATGTCTCTGCTCTGTAAATAGGTTCTAACTGATGATCTTCCTTATGAATCTCTGTTTCATGCAGACTGCAAGGGAAAGAAAAAGATAACAGTTTAAAAGTCAAATATTTTCCTTATCTTTAACTTTCAGAAACAGTGATGATATTAACAGATTCATACCAAATTTGATACAAACAATTAATTCATAAAGTGTAATTTCCCCCACTATTTAACAGTACCAAACCTATCTGTGCACTCTTATCAAGAAAAAAAAAATATATCTCTGCAGAACATGCTTACAAAATGTATCTCCCACAAATATATGCTAAAGTATCTTCCACTTCACCCAACACAGGAGATGTGTCTTATGCTGGAGCAAAGATTTCCAACATACACAGCAATTAAGCCACACAGAGCTATCCAAGCTAATTACAAATAGCAAGTAGAAGCATGTGCTGCTCACCAGTCAGAACAAGAATCACAGAAATCCAAGGACATTTCTTGAGGGCAGTCTTGGCAGTGCCACCGAACACCCTGGATAGGTTCAATTCCGCAGTTATCACACTGTGAAGCAGATGGAAGAGCATTAAGAAAACAGCAAAATTAATCACATTAGTAACAGTATACACCAACACAAAAGAGCACCCATGCACTAGCCCACACAGCTCAATTCTTCTCATCATGGATCATAATGTATTCATGGATAAAGAAGTCCTCATTCCCTAGGAGAGGCCCTCCAGAGCCCTGAGGATTGACCAATCTTTCTGTTGCTTTGGTTCACACTCCTTGCATGCTCCATGTTGACATGATCCTCCTGCTCTACAAAAGCAGACCTAGTCCTGCCTGCAGCCACTGCTTAAGCTCCCACAGCTGAAGAACTACCGCGACACAATACGTAAACATGATGTTTCCACAGCTGAAATCCAACCATATAAAATGTCTAAATACAGATCCACTTTCCATGGCAGAAGAAAGCAGTAAGACTAGACCAGTAGAGCCTGTTGGAAGGCTGTTGATGGGCTGCAGATCATGACATGACAGGTCAGACTGATGAACTTTCAAACTCAAGAAATAAAATAACGTATTATAGGTGGGCTGGAACTAAAAGCCAGGTGGCTGGGAAGCAAATGGGACAACATGTTTAGGGAAGGGAAGAGAAGTCTAACACTGAGCAAGAAGACAAGGACTAATCCCCCAACAGGAATCGGGGACAACACAACAGCAGCTAAGTGCAAGAACAGTGTGGCACAAAGAGAAAGAAACAAAGTACAAACTTAACATCATGACTGGATGAAAAATTCATGATGGTAGAGAAGAGGGGCAGAAATGCAAAAATACTTGACAAAAAAAGGAACCTGGAAAATGGGACTTGGAGCCAAGGAGAACCTTTCAAAAATCTGAACTATGAAGAGTGCTGCAGAGACAGGACTGAAAAGGAGAAAGAAATGTGGGGAACAAGCCCGTGCTCTCATAGCTCAGCCTCCTCCAGAACATGAAGTTTTCTCACAGCATCTGTGAAATGCACTTGCACAGCAGCTGGTTCCTTGCTACACCTAATCCACTCAGAGTTACAAACACCCTACAAACAGATTTGTCACAGCTGTATCCCTTCCTTCCACCGATGGCTTTCAGAGTTTGAGGGCTGATAATGGGGAGGGACTAAGCACACTCAGAGCTGTTCTCTGAAAATATTAAGTTCAGTATAATGCTAAATACTTTAAAAAAAAAAATAAAAAACAAAAACTGGTTCCAGTTATCTCAATCTGAGAACCAAGTTAGCGGAAACCCTTGACCTTAATTTCTGTGCTCCAGCTTCCCTCTCTGCTGTGAAACAGAAATAATACCATGCCTTTCATTTCTTAAGGAAAAAAGAAATATATGTGCAAAGTGCTCTGATATTATAGCAATGAAAGCCATAAAAAGCCCACAAAGGATTCAGTAATTCAATATTCAAAGTAGAGTTTGAATAATGTGTAGTAAGTGAGGTTGAAGGCCATGTAGAACTAAAAGTGTTCTAAATGGTTGCCCATCAGGTGAGCTCCATCCAGCCCATGCACTGAGGAAGCAGCACTCCTGAGGGAAAATAGTATATAATCATGTAATTTCATAGCTTACTATAATGATAATAAAACTCAGATTGCAAAGAAACTTCCAAACTTCGAGTGTTTGACACTGCATAATGCCAATTTACTTTTCAGAGTAATTTTATGTAGAAAACGCAACTAGTTTGTTACCTAGAAGTCTGATCTGCCTGATCAAAGTTTTGATTTTGGGGGGAAGAAAACACTAATGTAAACAAACACAAACCAAAACCAAACCAAAAAACCTAACACACCATGTTAACTTTGAAAAAAAAGGACAAAAATAAAAAGCGCCTTCGAGTTTAAACAACATGATTAAGTCTGTCTGTGTCAACTAACAAGGCTGTATTGATTTTCCAGTCATTTTGAACTGAACTTTAAACTGAGTATCGTTGCATTCTTATGTGAATGGGTATTAGAAAATAAATCTAGCTGCACAACACCAAACAAGGTGAAGAAACTGTTCCAACATAGCAACCAACTACACAGAAAATTCCTTGCAAACTAGAAAATATATTTAGAGCATGCCCTTTCTTTCATGTTACCTATTAGTTGTTGATACCAGAACAAGTAAGTTTAATTTAATGTTTATTTTCTTAATTTCATGCAACTATTGTTTCATGTCCTTGCTTCACCTTCTATGAGTTATTACTTAATAGGATTAGAAAGTTGCTAAAAACGAAAAAATTATTGATCTATTACTATTCTCACTCAAAATCTTTGTCCCTTTTTTGGCCTCAAGTGGAGGCAAAATGATCCCAAATTCATAATCAGAAATTATAATCAATGAATCATAGTCTAAGCAGAGAGTAGTGTCAAATGGAATTCTGTAATTATTTAACATGGTTCTAGAGCTGTACTTTCATAATACAAATGAGAAAAAGACAATATGCTTTTTAATTTTCATACAATATCAGCATTCAGTGAAACCTGAGCTACCAGAAAGAGTGACATACTTGGGTTGTTTTACTAAAGAAGATGAGGGAAAGCAGACACAGTGAACAAAAACTAAGGAACCAAACTTGCTATATTAAACAAAGCCTTTTTAGGAAATCCAAACCATGTTATCTTTGAACTACTGTCCACTGGGTAACAGGTAAACATCTCTTAAACTCACCTTGAATCCCACATGTTGCACAAATCCACTTTCTGCATGCATCTGCTGGAGTTTCTGTTTCTTCAATTTTTTAAACTCTAACAGTTCTTTGTATTCAGGTAACTCTCGATATGTTATTGGAATACTCTCTTCATCCTGTTGATGGTTAAAAAAAATGAGAAACATGCTTTACTTTAGGAATATAATAACTAGTAAGACGTATGTTCCATAAATCACTATATATGATTAATAATCTTTGAGAAAATGCTGGCAATATATTCTAAGTAAGAAACACAGTAGGAAATTATTTTTAAAAACATAGCACAAAACAACACATACAGCTAACTTACGTTTCATTTTGTAGTATTTATACTTTGTTATTTGCATTAAACCAAAAAGCATTATCCTAAAAACATATTTCTTCTGGTGAAGAGCTTATCTGTAGTATAAAGAAGAGAGCAGTGCCTAACTTCAGTTTCTCGGTTTTTTTTCTCATCTTAGATGCCTAACTGCAATTTGCATACAATCCACTTGTCCATACATTGTGGGAAAAAATAGCAGGTGCAGTAGAAAACTTAGCTTTTGTTTAAGACAAAGTTAGTTTATTTTAAATACTCAGCAACAGACATCATACTTGAGAACTGAAATTTCAAGTCAGTTTTATCAAGTTAATTCATCTTTCTCTAGTATTCTGTGGAATGGTATGGAATAATACTATTCTGAGGATAGTTAGGATCACTGCTCTGAAGTACTTTCAAAGCTGTGAAAATATTAAAAACAAATGACAACCAAAAACTTTTTACAATTTTAAGAATTTTTACACAAACTCAGATTTTTAGAAGACAGTACCAAGTTTCATTATATGTATTTTTTATTTGAAGACAGTCGATGTTAACAGTATTAACTTCTCACCTTTACCTGCAGGAATAAAAAGTGATGAGAAGCATCATTCCATGGCTGGAAGAGTAGAAATTTCAGAGTTATCCAACTCCTTCATCCCTTTACTTCATGCTGTCTCTTATTAGCTTAAGAAAACAGACTTATATTTTTCCTAAATTACGAGAAAGTTTCTCTCCCTACATGCTGGTGCATATAAATTTGCCAGAGATGTTCAACAAACGGTTCTCTCTTTTTAAAGAAACACACCATTTCTGGTTTTTCCCATCCAATTTTCTTCAACAAAGGTTGAGGACCTCTATGTTATGAGAAGACAGAAGCTCTCATTCTAATTCAGATGCCTGTTCAAGACGGCTATTCAGTTGTACCAGCCGTACTTCGCAGATGTCAGCTGTTTTCATAGATGACAAGTCTTTTGTGATGTAGGGCACTTTTCAGATCCTATACTGATAGGAACCTTCAGTGATGTAAAACAATTACAAGATAGTAGTCAAAATTCTTCTAATGTAGCCTACACACTTAAATGCAACCTTTTTTTAATGAATCTGTATTATTTACTAAGTTTATTAAAGGAAGTGAGGCAAAGAGGCTTCCTCTCCAGCGCTGAATTTCTAAAGGCCTTATCAATTGTTTAATTTTAATTATGAACCTATATAAGGGACTAGACTGCAAACATTCAGAAAAATCAAGGTTAAATGACGTGATTAAATTACAGAATCACAGAATCACAGAATAGTAGGGGTTGGAAGGGACCTCTGTGGGTCATCTAGTCCAACCCACCCTTCCTAAATTACGAGAAAGTTTCTCTCCCTACATGCTGGTGCATATAAATTTGCCAGAGATGTTCAACAAACGGTTCTCTCTTTTTAAAGAAACACACCATTTCTGGTTTTTCCCATCCAATTTTCTTCAACAAAGGTTGAGGACCTCTATGTTATGAGAAGACAGAAGCTCTCATTCTAATTCAGATGCCTGTTCAAGACGGCTATTCAGTTGTACCAGCCGTACTTCGCAGATGTCAGCTGTTTTCATAGATGACAAGTCTTTTGTGATGTAGGGCACTTTTCAGATCCTATACTGATAGGAACCTTCAGTGATGTAAAACAATTACAAGATAGTAGTCAAAATTCTTCTAATGTAGCCTACACACTTAAATGCAACCTTTTTTTAATGAATCTGTATTATTTACTAAGTTTATTAAAGGAAGTGAGGCAAAGAGGCTTCCTCTCCAGCGCTGAATTTCTAAAGGCCTTATCAATTGTTTAATTTTAATTATGAACCTATATAAGGGACTAGACTGCAAACATTCAGAAAAATCAAGGTTAAATGACGTGATTAAATTGTGTGGTGATAAGCTACATTCTCTTAATATAAAGCAGGGATTCACCTTCCATGCAAACCTCCAAAGTTTTTCTGACAAAAACTACTTGGCACAAAATAACTGTATGTTGAATAAACTCCACTACAGTAGCTCCCTGTGTGGACGCTTCACTCTGGAATAGTAAGTAGTAGTATTCTAGAATAATCACTCACAAAATGAAGTACTCATAACTGAAAAGTAAATTCACTCTGTGAGGAATAGAGGGTCTTCACCTGGGAATAGCTCATTTATACTGAAACACTTCTTCAGGAACGGTTATGCCAGTCAAGCTGACTGGTAATATCCAAGCAAAATCTTCTGTCTTTACAAGGGAACAGTGCCTGGTACTTCCATTGTAAAGAACTCAAAGAAAACTCTTCCTATAATTTTCTTGCTACACTGAATCTCTTCTTCATCGTGCTGATGCAAAATATTTCTCCAAGACAGTGACTGTCACTCAGAGATCTGACTTTTAACATTAAAACAGAATCCTGTACATTCATTTTGCATATAGTTCATGATCTCTTTTTTCTACCAAATTGCTTCTATTTTGCACTGATAATGGGGATCTTTTTGATAACTGAGCTCACCTGTGTCTTTCTACATTACTGCAAGCCAGAAATATATCCATCTGGAAATGCTGCACTAGTGAAGAAAGAAAATATTAAGCCAAATTTATATTTTTAAAAAAAAAGGAGGAGGGGGGCACAAGTCCACCATTATCACTGCAAAAGAAAAAGAAAGTAAAACAGCAACTTCTATCCAAATTAAAACAAATCCCAGTTGATTTATGGTGCCTTTATTTATTAGAGTTAGGACACCATGGCAAAGCCAAAACAATTTAGGAAAATATTCAAAACAGTTAGAAAGTATGTATTTAAAAACAATACAGAACAAAAAAAATGTTTGCTCAAAACCAGTTCCACTAAGATAAATAACAGTTATCTGCATCTCTTCTACTATGCGTTTTTCTTTCCGAGCGCTTTAAGCTTCTTATTGGAATACGCAAAGTTATCAGGAATTGTCTGCAGATGAACCAAAAGACCATTAGAGAGAGAATATAGAAGATGATTGAAGATGAGATTTAAGAATGAGTAACAGAAGAGCAAATTTAATAATTTAAGGAAGATTATGCAGTCCATGTAACAAAGTCAGTACAGAAAATGAATGGACTTATACTGTGTGGCCTTAATACTTCTGTTATGCAACAAGCTTTTCACACACAAGATGTCACTAGGCTCACAATAAACAAAAACCAAACAAAATGTAACAAGACAGGTTCTTCAGTCTAAGCACAGTAAAGCCACAGTGAACCACACCAGCTGTGAATCTTGCCCAGCATCCTAGCCGTAGGATATAGTCCCTCTATATGGAAGTACGAAGACTTTAGTCTTGTGGAGATGAGCTGGGAGCTTCTGAGGTAGTAGGAGCCAACAAGGAAGCTTCGGTGAAACACCCCAAGGGAAACAAGGGGTGTTCCTCTATGAAGATGACGCAGATGAAGTGCCTCTCCATGAATGCACGCAGCATGGGAAACAAACAGGAAGAGCTGGAAGCTACCACGCTACTAGAAAGCTATGACCCGATTGCCGTTACTGAAACTTGGTGGGATGCATCCCATGACTGGAGCGTGGCTATTGATGGCTACAGGCTGTTCAGAAGGGACAGGCGGGGAAAGAGGGGTGGAGGCGTCGTTGCCCTCTACATCAAGAAACCAACACAGTGTGAAGAGCTGTCCCTGAAGAATAGTGACGAACGGGTCAAAAGCCTATGGGTAAGAATCAGAGACAGAGGCAACGAAGGGAACCTGGTCATGGGTGTCTACTACAAGCCACCTGATGAAGCGGAGCCTACTGACGAAGCCTTCTTCCTCCAGCTCCAGGAGGCTTCGCGCTCACAGTCTCTCATCCTGCTGGGGGACTTCAACCACCCTGACATCTGCTGGAAAAGTAGCACGGCGAGCTGTAGGCAATCCAGGAGATTCCTAGAACGCATTATGGATAACTTTTTAAGCCAGGTAATTGACACCCCTACCTGAGGGGATGCCATACTGGACCTGATGCTCATCAATGCAAGTGAGTTCATCAGTGACATCAAGACTGGAAGCAGCCTGGGCTGCAATGATCATGCATTGGTGGAGTTCACAGTCCTGAGGGATATGGGAAAGACGAGGAGTATAGTCAGGAACCTACATTTTAGGAAAGCCAACTTCCAGCTCTTCAAGGAGTTAGTCAGTAGGACCCCCTGAGAAATGGTCCTCAGGGACAGAGGGGCAGAACAGAGCTGGCAGATCTTTAAGGATGCTTTCCATGGAGTACAGGAGCTCTCAGTCCCCAGGTGTAAGAAGTCAGGCAAGGAAGGGAAGAGACCAGCATGGCTGAGT